GCGCAAGCGAAGAACTGGATTGAAGTTACGAAAAAAAAATGGCCGACAATTTGAATCATATTTCTGACAACGAAGAGTCGGAATGGCTGGAAAATATAAATCCAACTTTATGAGATGAATCGAGCAAAGAAAAACAGCTTGACGACCAGGAAATTTCTTCATTTGTTGAAGAAAATAGAAACAGCAACGCAACAACGCGCCAATCCGTTCCTCTTCGCATACTTCTGTCATACACTCCCCGTAAATAAGTATCCGCGAAATTCGCCGGCATTGAAATAACAATTTGGCGTGTTGGATAATAAATAACTTATTGGACGTTTTGTTGTGTACTTTCGCTGCGTATTTTTACTCGTTATTTGTAAATAAGGATGTCGGAGTCGCTTTCTATATTTAGGAAAAATTTGCAACACACATAGTTGTCCTCATTGTATGACTGCAACTGTATGTTTTGTAAATAAATAGTCTAATCACCGAAATTCCCTTTTATTAAATTATTGATTACTTTAATAGCAATTGTTCATCCCAGATGATTAATTTTTATTTCTTATTTATTACTCATTATTTAAACATGTAAATTATGTAAATTTTTATGTAACATTTGCATTTAAACGAGCTATCGCTCATATGCGATATGTGGTTAAATAAAGTTACTTAAAATACGGCACAACTCGTAAAAATATTCAGCGATACTATACAACAAAACGTCTAGTAAGATGTATATATTACCACGTCACTGAGGCCGATCATTTTTCTTCGTGTGAATCATGTTGCTTTCCCAGAGCTGGAATCAAGGGACTGTTTGTGCTGATGCCCCTTCTTGGTGTAGGCTGGATTCTTGGACTCTTTGCTTTGAACGATGGCACCAAGGTTTTCAGTTATGCATTTGCTATCGTCAATGGATTTCAGGTGAGTGTATTACAATTGTCGAGTTGTAAAGTCTTGTTACATTTGAATCTAAAAAATGTGATAAAAGCCACTGGATTCATAGAGGTCATTAACATCTACCTTCTATATCACTAGATTATCCATGTGATTTGAAAGAAAAACCTATCAGCTAAAGGCTGCCATCCTAATGCAACATGAAAATCTCACCACTAGTACCTAATGAAATTAAACAGTTAGAAAGGGAGATTTCGACTCAGATATTGAGGGTTGGGCTTGGTAAAGGTACTGATAAATGGTTGGCTGAATTTTTTTTAGGGCTACTCCCAAAGTCCAGTGTCTTAATTTCTTAGTTTTCAACTGATACTTTAACAGGCCTCTTGAGTCAATACGCTCTGAACATCAGGAATGAAATAGGCTCAAAGGAAAGTGTGTCTGAGGCAGTCACCTCTAGCACGTGCAACTTTCGCACTTCTGTCGTATTCTTAAAACGTCCTTCGCGCCTTGGTAAATTCTTTGATATTATACAGCTACCTAACGTCATCCAACTTTTTTCCTCAGGGCTTACTGATTTTCTTGCTGCACTGTGTTTTTAACAGTGAGGTATGTGACTGAGTTCAAAGTCAGTATCCATGATGTGAGCAGAGGAGCCGATACCTATACTAATTTTAATAACAAAAACAAATATCTCATATAGCCAGAAGTATATGGCACTTTTTGGGTAACACGTAACGCAGACACGATCGTTTGTCGAAGAAATCGCCCTTCAACTTTGTTGAAAGATTGAATAGACCAAAGCGTTTTAGTTTCTATGCCACGAAAGCTTCACAAATAAATGACACGTAATGAAAGAAGTAATGATTTATTCTAAAAATATACATCTTTCAGGTCCGCCAAGCTTTTCGCCGACAGAAAGAGAAACATTCCCTCACAAAGGAGAACCTGTCTCAGTATAATGCGTCCTTCTCACTCTCGGTAAGAATTTACAATGTAGTAACTCAATGAAATAATCTGAACCTTTGTGAGAACTGAAAAGCGTTCACAAGAATGTTGCAAGGGAATAAAGTTATTTCAATTTTATCGCGACCAAAACTTAACTCGATTTTGACAGAATTATGGCTTTTCAATAACGAAGTGAGGAGAGAATAGGCGGAGACCAATACACCGCAGATTCTTAGGATTATTAGGATTCTTAGTTCTTTGGTCAAGTAGTGATGGTTGGTTATAAGTATCCCAACTAAGTCATTTCTTTTTCAGCAGTCAGACTCTGAAAGCAGGAAAACCTCGAACTTCAGCAATTTTGATAAACTCAAAGGTAAGATTGCCCTCTTAACAAAATGAGTGAATATTGATTGTTATAAATAAATTGCCAATAAATATTATATGTTTCAGCAAAAATAAGTAGATATCGAAAAGGTGATCGCTACTACAGGCACTTAGAAAAAGAAGCCTCAAAAGCAAACAAAAGGTAAAATTTAGGGCGTTCTCTCAGGATTTCCTTTCACCAAAAATTATATTTATTTTACAGTGACGACTTTTTATCTGTGATTTGTCGAACAATGTCACATAATCAGCTGTTCATACTTATCACTTAATGTTCTCGTTTACTGTAATGTAGCCCAAAAAAATAATTCCCTCAAAACAACTGGACTGAAGCCAATAATGAATTTATTCAATCGTCTTTACAATCTTGTGTCTAAGTGTGGACTAATTTGAACTTGTTGTAGGGACACTTTCCTTCAAACGCAAGAGCTCAGCCAGAGTAGTTCAAGTTCAGGTTGGTGTTCCGTGTTTGTTGAAGTTATATCTTTAATATTATGATTTATCAATAACATAATCGATAAAGAGTTCTAGAACCAACGGACTAAATTTATAAAACCGTCGTTGCCTTTTAGCCTACTAACGACAATCACGACGGTACTGACAATTCGTTCCAAGTGAAACGAACCTTCCATGAGAGGAATAGACTGAGTGTGACATGAGAAGAAAACAAAATGTCTTCTTTAAACTGCCCCATGGTAAGGTAACATAGCAAGAAACACTGGCTGTTCAATGAATTTTACGTGTAAAAAAAGCGATTAATTAAGTTAAAACATTTGAAAAGGAAAAAAATATGGGGCTAAGTGTTCAATCCAAGTTTAATCATAGTGACGTGGAAATGCGGCAGACAGTAAATGATAACACCTAAAGCTATGGGGGCGAATGCTAGCATTAAGCAAATATTACAACATTCAAAATGTCAGAGAAAGCGTCGAGTATGCTGTTCGGCAGTCACCATCGTTAATCATGTGATTATAATTTTTCCAGCATTAGACTCTTCATGCACAGTTTAATTCATCTTACAACGATCTTACCCGTCTTTCCCCACTCCAAACGCCGCTGCACTTCTGGGGAGGGCCATGTGGCCAACACGCCGGTTTGTAAAAAGTCGTTCAAACTGACAACGGAATTACAGTCAACATCGTAAGTGTATTTCGAAGGACAGCTGAAGTCTTGAATGATAAGAAACCCTTAAAAATACTGAAACACAGAATACTGCCGTTATTTAAAACTTTAGTTAGATATGAATAGAGGTTGTACAGATGATTGGTGTCTAAATGATACTTTTTTTGATGAGGATTTTAACATCAATCAATCAATTCGGTGGCTAGAGGATAACGTGATTTCCTGCACTGTCATGTCGACTACAGAAATGGATGTACGCTTTTTTATTTTAGGATTCAGAAAGAGAAGTCTCGCCCAAAAATCAGCAGGCAGCAGCCAACAAAAGAAGGAAGCACAGTCGCCCCTAATGACCCGCCTGAGCAGTCCACATTTACTGATGTATTCATTACTTCATTGTCAAACAGAAGTATGAGGAACAAGAGTTCCATACAGTTTTAAACTATCTTTGATTCACGGAGAATAAAATAAACTATGATAAGTAGAATGTCGTCATTAATTTTAAAGAACTGGGGTCGCAAGGAAAGAAATTCTTACTGAAATGGTAAGAAGAACATGCGTGGTTCATCATGATTCTTCTTGTGTAAATTTTCTTTTATCAATTTGGATATTGTGTTCCTTACCTGATGATTTTTGACTCATAACAGCGAACAATTTAGTTCGCACAAATTTGTTAATAGTTTAGTTTTAAGTTGGCATAAGGGTTCATGGTGGTGAACAGGATATGAGAAAGTCTGCGTTCTCGCACTAAACAGCCTGTACTTAATTTGACGAAACGATTTTGGCGACTAGCGATTTCACTTGAATCGTAAAGTAAAAAAAAAGTAATCAATGATTTATACGAGACAAAGATGAATACTGGTATGAATGCAGTTTCTTTACCTTAGCGACAAAAAACACGACGAAGTAATAAACAATGTAAAGTTTATACGAGAGTTAAAAATAAAAAAGTCTCAATAAAAAGACAATTGTCCTTACTTTTATCAGAAACCATTAAACAACATCAACGCTTTCCCGTCCAACTTCGCTTCCCAACCGGAAAGTTTTCTTTAACAGCCACTTTTTCTATTTCTGTCATCAATTGAAAGTTTCTACTACAATAATTTTAGAGAGAGAGATAGTTTGTGAACAGGATATGTAATGACTTGTTATCAGACCTTTGGAAGGAAACTGGACGCTCTGAGAAGCGATAACTCGGGCTAAGCGAGCAGAACACTTCCAACGAAGTCCAGAAAAACGTGCACTTGGGCGTGGGCAATACTAACCTGAGACTTAGGTCAGAGCAATGCGTACGAACGTTTTTAAGCGAGAATCCGATGGAGCCGTTCATTTTTCATGAAAGACCTGGAGAAGAGCCACTTTCCTCTTGTGAATGAGACCTCTGTGAAAAATGTCTCAACTCTATATTGGAAATGTTTAGCCACTACAACAGGATTTAGATTCAGCACTTGACACCTTCCTTTGTTAGACAAAGCATCCCCATGTTCATCAGTCGTATTATTACCTTGAATTGTTGCTAATATTTGAAAGAGTTCAGGCCATCTAAGACCAGCGCGATAATGTCATGAACCATGTAGGAATACCAAGCTGTTTCACCGTAGCTATTACTTCAAACATAAAGTTTTGTCAGTAAGGGGGGTTTCCTGTTATTTGTCTCCGAAATAAATATGCTTGATCTCAGGGGGGTGTGGAATTTGTTTACAAGTCTGATCACATTCTACTGGTACATTATAGATTGCACCTTTAATTTTTCTCTGTTGCCCTTTAAGCATAACAATCTTTCGAAATACTACTCTTTGAGCTATTAGTATCTGTTCTAATTTTTCTAACGAAGCTAGTTGTGAAGGAATTTCATCAACATACATGTCAACTACGGCTTGACAGGGGGGTTTTTCTCCTATGACTTTTGGGTGATATGTCTTGCATATATATTCATTACCATCAAATGATATTTTATTGTTGAAATAATCTTCACAAGGGTAGTTGCTATGTAAACACTTTACGACTGATTTAAATTAAATAAAGGACCTTCCCTTATTTTGCAATTAAACTGTTTAATACATGCATTTAGGTTATTTTTTGTTTCTTGGTGCATGTGTTTTTGATGTTTTTTCTTTTTTCTTTTGTCTCTTTTTTGTTGCATCCATTTTCGAAAATCCTGTTTTAATATCTTCTACGTACATTTACTTTGCAATTGGTTCCATAATGTCATAGCTATATTTTTCCTATGCTTTTATTATTTTTCTCCTTACATTTTCACTTGAATAGCATACAAATTGTATGTCACTCTGTATTGTATTCTGAATAAAATGAATAATTACATCTACAAGTGTATTTATACCATTGATGTGTTTAATACTGCAGGTGTACAACTGTCATCGTATCAGTAGAGAAAACAAGTGCTTTATTTTGGTACTTCGTTGATGAATACCTGCAATAGTGTCTGGAAAGCCACATTAAAAATCCACTATTTTAAACACGGTTTTGTAAAATTAAGTTTTTTAAGCATGTCCTGCTTTTAGCTGAGTTACAGTATAATTTTCCTTTATATATGCTATTCATTGATATATTAATCTCAGCACCACAAATAGCAACACTATTAGGTACATCAGAAGGTGCGAAATAGGTATTGATGCCCAATTTATTATGAAGATGTTTTCCATTTTGTATGATTGCCTCTGAAATACTTGAATTGTAGTAACTGCATGGCGAAATGACCGAGTAGAATAATGAATGAAGTGCTATTGTCACAGTTGTAATGATTGCTATATACAGTGTTTCTTTCTCATTGCCCCTTGTCAGATTTGGTAATATGCACCCCTTTGAGTTCAAGGACAACAGTAGATTGATATTAATTCTGAAAGTATTGAACTAAGTTGTGCATAGATGGCAAATCTAATAGTACACATGTTCTTTGAGGATGGTTGTTGCCCTTAACATCCCTTGTATGAAAGTCAAACACTTTGAAATTATCATTATTAACACAATAAATAATACCAACAGCATTACATTGTGCTGTTAAATGAATGATGTGTATTGTTGTGAGATCAGTGATTAAAAAGTTCTCTCCAGGGTCACACAGTACTGATATCCCTCAATTGCTACTTCATCATGTTCATTAGCAGTGTAGCTTTCACTGTATTCAAAGTCGTAATTTCCTTCTACACTGTAAGCATTGTTGGCAGTTCTGTTAGCATCAAAAGAGTGTCTGGCTAATTACGACAAACTAGAATATAGTTGATTTCCAATTTTCATCATTTGTATCAAGTGATCAGCACTGCGTATTCCGCTCATATTATAGCATATTAAAGCACACAAACTCAACATTACCATGAGTGTATGGTGCTATAATTGCTTTCGTAGGGTCAACATTGTGCTGATCAGTATCAGGGTTTCTGTGCAGATCAGTTCAGAGCTTGTAGCTGGTACAATTATCTATGTGAAATGCATTCATGTATTCACTTATTGGCAAATAAGTGAATACATGAATGCATCTACGAAATACATGAACTACTACGAAACTTTGTAGTAGTTTTCTGCTTTTCTTAAAGAGACGTCCAAATCTTTTCAGCGGTGTTCTACTTGGTTCACGATTTCGTCTAAAACCGTGGTATTCACATGCAACACGAGAACAATTATAATACACACACTTTGCATAACGGTCTGAATTCTTGCATTTTATTGTCACCATAGCATCATTATGCTTGTGTACTATAGCTTGATCGATAACTTTGTCAAGAATGCTACATTTCTCAAGACTTAAGCTTAAAATGCTTTCTAATGAGTGTGAACACATGTAAAATGCTTACTGTGATTTTAAGCGCAAAATCGAATTTTACTTCACAAGCATCTAACGCAACAGAAAGAAGCAAAGAAATCAGGACATCAGCGAGAAAGCTACATACACGAAATAAGTACTTTTCCAGTTGATTCATAAACTACCTTTTGCTTCATCCAATATGGCGACTTGTTTGTTGTTGTTTGTGTCGTTCAAGCTCTGCTCATCAAGATACCTGTTTCTGTCCACATCAGAGTAGTTCAGATTAGTCTCAGAATTCGTTCAGAGTTGGTCAATGGTCATAGTTTTGTCATTTAGTTCATATTTTTTGCTCATACATTTCTCATTCGGTATCTCACATGGTATCTCATGAGACGATAAATTTCGCGTGTTAACTGGAAAAACTGAACCTTCGCGGACGGCACAACAATAACTGGGGGGAAATTAACTCGGTAAAGACCACTCAGCAGCGAGAACGGAAACTGATCAGGATTTACTGGCACACGGAGATCTACTTCGAGCGAGCTTATACGGACGTCCTGAGGATGAGACAATCTTTGGTTCCACAGTAAACTTTATTCTAGGTCAGGTCAACAAGCGACAT